CAGCATGAAGATCTCCAAAAAATGCAGCTTTGGTAGCCTTTGCTCTTGTTTGAAAACGGTCAGGAAACCGAGTTAATGTAACAATCAACACCTTCCAATTCCGACCCCACCCTCCTTTACACTGGTAATGCATGGCCTCATCAAGCTGTTGAAGCAGCTCCGGTGGAATCTTCTTCTTGGCCTCTTGGCAAGGGCGACTGCCCCTCACAGACACGGCTAGCACAGGACGAACAAGAATCCTAAACCCCAACATAACCCTAATATAGCCCCAATAGAACCCCAATATAACTCTAATAGAACCCTAATATAACCCCAATAAGCTTCATCAAGTCTTCAAGGAAGCTTGCCTCTACAAGGCCCGCCCTGCCTTCTGATAGGTCGGCTCAATAGCGAGAGTGTACACCTAGCGCAGGTCAAACTACAACATGATGAAACTTTAGGACCTACGTGCACCACCATGCCGTCTGCCTTCTTGCCGCCCTGAAAGAACAGCATGTACACCTGATGCTTTGAAAGCTGAACCGTGGTGCGAATGTTGGCTTGGCGAAAACAAATGTTGGCATCGCACTGTGGCTTCTGTACACGCTATAAAGCCTGTCATGGACCGTGGCTTAATTCACAAAAAAGAATTACGCGATGATAAAGCGTGTGACATGTCAGGAGACCATCTGCGCGCTAGAAGTAAGTTTGGCACGATAAGGCCGAAGCGAAGCTCCGTGTAGAAGGGAAGGATCCACAGGGCTCCCCAGGTAATGCTCTCCAAAGCAGAAAGAATTGACATCCTCAGCGACATGGCTTGTATGGGTTAGGGGTAGAACAGTTATAGTCCCCCTTAAGTAGAAAGAATATGGAATTCCTAAACTCTAAACCTTAAACTTGACCTATATAATCATAAGACCCCATATACCCCATGATCTACAGCACTTAAGGGGGACTATAGCTGCAGTCATCCTAAGGAGTTCCAGACAGACCGTCTCCGTGCAGTCAGAGCTGCGTCATCCAAAATGCCAGCCTTAGCTTCTCCGCGTCTGGCAGTTCTGGACTTGACAGGGATATAGTCCCGCTTATACATTGGGGTAATATTAGGGTTATATCGGGATAATGGAAAAGAAAATGGAAGCTACCATTTAGGGTTTGGGGGTTTAGGGGTTTATAGTCCCGCTTAAGTAGATAGAATATGGGGTATATGGGGATTTTTATAATATGCCCAAGGCCATATTCTATCTACTTAAGGGGGACTATAAAGGTTTAGGATGATGATAGCTAATAGCAATAGCAAGCACGCCAAAGCACGACCTTGACAGAAATCAAAATAACACCAGCGAGAGCGTCAACAACAATAGAGACCTGCTTGGCCACCCTAAACCCTAAACC